ATGAAAAATGAATTTATTTTACAGAGAGAGTAGTCAATTAGTTCGTTTGTTTTGTTGAAAGATCGCATAGCTTAACTGGTTAGTTTATTTTTTTTGGAACCAACTCATGTGGGTTCAAGTCCTAAATTTAACACGGGAACTCGTGTTTACGTGTATTTATTCTTTCAGCGGTAGCTAGGCAGCACACTCGTTGTTGATAGCGAGACGTCCGTTGTGACTTTGTCAATCTTAAGATATGTCGGTTGAGTCTTTTAAAATGCTTATGAAAACAAAATATGCGTGTATAAGTTTATAAGTACAAAATATGAGTATACGTGTGCTATGAGTATTCATAGTGAGAGAGACCCTTCATTTTGGACTTTTGGTGACATTGGCTAGGCCAGCTCGGTCGGACCGAGGTAGACGAAAGCGAGCACGAGCTCTGCGCGAGGCATGACCTGACCCAACCCAACCCACTGTCCGGCCCCTCCGACCGGCCGCTGTCCGGGACCACTCATGCCACTCACGGGGGTCAACAACAGTGGGCCCCACATAACCCCGCTCGTGGGCCCCCCGGCCCAGCCTCGCCCGCGCTTTGAGTTCGCGGAAAAGTAAGACCTGTTTAGAAAGGACTAACACTTTAAATGTTCGGACACTAATTATAAATATTAAACGTAGACTATTAATAAAAACTCATCTATAATTTTGTACTAATTCGCAAGACGAATCTATTGAGACTAATTAATCCATGATTAGCCTATGTGATGCGATAGTAAACATTCTCTACTTATTGATTAATTAGACTTAAAAAATTTATCTCGCGAATTAGCTTTTATTTATGTAATTAGTTTTATAAGTAGTCTATATTTAATACTCTAAATTAATGTCTAAATATAGCGAGTAAAGTTAAGTCGATCCAAACACCACCTAAGAGAGAACAACACGGAACGACGACCCAGGTGGGGCCCACACTGTGGACCGGCCCAGCTAGGTGCTGCAGCGGTCAACAAACCCGGCTGGCTACTGTCCTTAAATTACTCTTAAAACTTAATTAACCCAGGTCTAAAGGGGACAATAAATTAAACAAACTAGATGACACCCCGCGTCTTGCTGCAGGATATTAAATAACACATTTCTATATATTTCAATATATAGCAGTTGTAAATCTTAGTAAAAAGTAACTAAGTAAATAGAAAGGAAAAAAAAAGACTCAAGTAGGGTTGGTCAGATGTCCAGTGCACTGCCACTCAGGTAGCAAGACCCACAGCGCTGAACCTTAAGCACAATATCTTGTAATGTAATGGAAAATGATTCCAGTGATCATTGTTCTTTTACCGAATACACGTATATTTCCATGATTACACAATGGTGCCTGGCCTTACATTCTTTAATAATCAAATTCCTATGACATTGTAAAGATAAACTAAACAGCAAAAAAAAAAAAAGAGCGGAGGAACTTAATTTTTGCAATCCATTCGATTTCTATAGACGGGTTTCGTAGACAGTTATTTGGAAGCATGAATATCAAATCAAACAATTAAAGCAATAAGATTTTTCCAAAAAGAAGGAGAGACTAACTGTGCTGATATGTCGAGAACACACACCACTGAAGACTTGTATATGTCAAGAAGCCAGAGTTATGTGATACCCTGAATATGAATTGAAAAAACAAAATCATTTCTACCAATAATATTTTCCTGCGTGCTGTAAGATTAAATCAACCATATATTTCGCCATCAAAAACAAAAATAAGCCAAACATTAATTCCAAGAGAGAAATTCATATTTCAGTGATGTACCATGGATTGAATAGAATGAGTCTACGATCTATAAAGCTTGCATCCAGTCCCTAGAACCACCACACCTGCGACCAATTAGGCAAAAAAGTCATAAAGAAAAAAGATTGATCGATCTCTCTATTACTTTCTGTGTTGCTGCAGCAGCAGATCCGTCAGTTCCTGAAGGCAAGACATGTTTGCTGATGTTTCGCCATAGCCAGCGGTGTGTATCATCCGCCGCGGGCTGCTTCAGCTCCCATCGTGGTGTTTAGCAAAAGGAGGTGTAACAGATGGAAAGTTAATTAGCGTGAAAAAGAATGAGCGATTTACTCAGCTTACAAATAGCTATTGTCGTCGATTCGTATGCCGTGTTAGATGGCGGCCGTTCCTCTAATACGGAGATGACGCAGCAGACGATTGGAAGGGTTCCGCATGACCTGGCGACCACTCGTCTGCAGGGGAAGGTCGAAGGACTCCAAGCCTCATTGCCTGGTGGGCCGAGAAGAATTTCCAATGGTCCTAATCAAGTGAATGGGCCACAGAAAGGAGCATATTGGAGATGATCTAACGGTTGATTTTTAGTGGATGACGTGGCTTCATAGAATTTGAGTTTTATAGCACTAAATGATCTTTAGTGGGTACTAATTATATAGGAAGAAAGGATTACTTGGTCTTTTGTGCTTGCGTGGAGATAATCCCCCGCGCACGGTGCTGGGGAATTCGCAGGGAAAAAATTTACGTGGAGATATATTTTTTTAAACACGGTACAAACGCATTCGTTCTCATACAAGCATACTCTATCATTACGAGAATGTATTGATATGGATTGATCAATCTAAAACAATAGTGTGATTAGAAAAATACCAACCAAAATATCAGACCTAACAGAGGAAATCCTACCTAAGTCGATACGTCTCTAAACAACGATGCAATTAAAAAAGAACCTATATCTGATAGATAACGATTCTATCTATCTACTTAAATAGAATATTGGACCTAATAAGCAAAAAAGCTATAGCCAAACCGATAAAAGCGAAGTTGATGGAACCTACTTCCTTACTGGAGATCGAACCTAAAAATCAAGGCGGCCTAACTCAATAGTAAGCCCCGAACTTGATTTCCATCGAAGATCGAAAAGAAGAGCCCGTTAAAAGGTTGACGATGCGCTGAAATGTTATTGTATGTGGATGCCCATACAAATGCTTTAGGGTATATATTTATAACCTCGAATTGATACAAGTCTTAATCGAACACTAGATAAGATTTTCTAACAAGAAAATAAAAATAAATAGCCTTGCCTACTTAAGATATGAAATATAAAATCGTCTTGCTAAGGCCGGTGTCCATGATTTCTCTTGAATCCAACCTTATCTATGTAAATTTTCATTTATCAATTGATTTTTTTCTCTAATCGAATCCAATAAAGAACCGTACAGATTTTTGGTGTTAACAATAATTAAATAATATATTAGTAAAACAATTATTAATAAATTAAACAAATCGTCTTATATTTGTATTTTATGCAGGAGTGGTATATAAGAACGATAAGATGAAATCTAATGACTCGTTTATTCGTATAACGTGGCTTCATCCAATGACTTCTTGAATCATTAATTAAAGTATGTACATTCCTTATTCTTTGCTCCCGTGGTAAGAATTAACTTATTTATATGTAAAAGATCATCATTAATATATTAAATTAGACAATCTGCCCCCATTCAGATTTTCCGTCGTAATAATGTTATTTTTATAGTACAAGAGATCATCGACTTAATTATTTTATTATAATCAATTAAAAATGTACTAATGTTCGTCGATATATGTTATCGAACGACGTAGCTAGTTACAAAAGCTCATCCTACTATTTTCATTTTACAAGGAAATTTTTTATAAAAAAAAGCAAAAATAATTAGTACATAATTAATTGAGTACTAACCGTTTCAAACTGAAAAATATATTATATTAATTTTTAAAGTAACTTTTTATAGAATTGTTTTAAAATACATTTCAACAGTTTGAAAAATATGCGCGGAAAAAACACGGTATTTTTTTCTCTGTCCCTCTGTCAAACACAACCAGGTTATTTGATCCATAGTTACACTTTACAATAACTATAGCATATGGCAGGAATTTTGACCAAACAGTTTAATGTTGGGTTTGTTAATGCACTTTCAATAAAAACACAACATACAACTTAATGACCTCACTTGTCATGACAAGATACAATTCCAGGGCAAAGTTTGGATAATTATCAACTTTTTAGCTACAAAAGTTATAGTAATCCCTCCATTTTACTATGTAAGACTTTCTATCATTGCCCACATTTATATATATATGCTAATAAGTGGGCAATGCTACATTATGATACGGAGGAAGTATGTGACAACCTCGTCTAAAAAAATTTGGCAAAGTGATATATTCCTCTATCGCTGAATAAGTGTAATTTTAACCTAAAGATGTTGTCTTTAGTGTAGTTTTAGAGTGGTCCGCTAGACTTTTTTTTAATATGACATATTTTTCTTTCCATTTTTAGTATCAATTAAACCAATAATAATCTCATCCTCATTGTTTTCTTCTCTTCTTTTTCTCTTCGTATTAATAAATGACATAGTAATATTTTACTTTTTCACTTATTATATTTTTGACTTGCTAAAACTATAACACTACTCCACCAATCAGCCCAGCACACCAAGCAAAGACCCAGAGTTTGGTTAAATACATTTTAATTACTACTCCAACAAAAAGGTCATTGTACTAAAAACAAACTACGGTCCCGTTTGGTAAGGTTATAGCTTCTAAATTTAACTTTAAAAAGTTAGATTTAGGGTGAAGATGTGGGGCTGCCTAAACCTAAATCTATTTCTTTAATTTATTTTATAAAAACACTCTAACCAGTTATAATACATTTTTAAATGGAGCTGAAATTATTTGGTTGAGATCTAAAGCAAAACTTGAGTTATGCCAAACAGTCCTGACATTGGCGGCTAGGACACGACCCACGCAATTTCGACCCTACAGCAGGGGCAGGGCCGTAAAAGCACACCTCCACATCGAAGACAGCATCTCGTTGACCCTTGTCCTTGACACTGTTGACCCTCACGGAGAACGGTTTCCCAGCCGCCCATCTTCACAATCCAACGCCCCAGGTTCCTCCACGTCACCCTCCTTCCCAACCCGAGTAGGTAACTTTTTCGCGCAGGCCCCTCGGAATCCTCAAAATTCCCCCTTTTATACCTCCCAAGTCCCAAGCCGAGCTCCAAAGCTACGGTTTTTTTTTCTCTTTCTTTCTCAGCTTCTTCTCCAACTCCTCTCTCTTCTTCTTCCTCTAGTCCTCTCCTGCCTGCTTCGTCTACTCCTCTCCCAACTCCGATCCCCTCCTCTCCGCGCTCCCGGTGGCCGGACCCGTCCGGCGACGACGATGAGCCGCTCGCCGGCACGGCGCCCTGCTCAGGTGAGCGAGCTCGCCGAGCTCGAGCTCTTGCTCTTCTTCTTTTTCTTTTTCTTCTTCTTTTCCGGCGATGAATTCGATGCGTTCTTGGACGGACGGCCTGTCGCCGCCATGGGGAGGGGAGCCCCTCTCGTTGTGGCGGCGGCGACGATGGGCCGCCGGAGCGGCCGTCGGAACCAGGGCCGGCCGCCGTCGATCGCCGTCGGATTTGATGGCTGGTTGCTCGACGAGCGGGAAGCTTTAGCTCCCCCCCCCCGGGATTTCCGGTGGAATTTCCTGCGTTTTTTTTTGTGGGGGGATGTTTCATGGAGATCTGTGTAACTTGTCTTCTTCTCCGTGTGCTGTGTTTCTCCAGATCTGAAGAGCTGCGAGAATCCGAGGCTTCTCTTGCTGGTTTAGCTCCGGCGGCGGCGGCGGCGGCGGCGATGGAGGAGGAGGTGGAGGCGGCGAACAGGGCGGCGGTGGAGAGTTGCCACAGGGTGCTGGCCTTGCTGTCGCAGCAGCAGGACCCTGCGTTGCTCAGGAGCATAGCTTCAGAGACAGGAGAGGCCTGTGCCAAGTTCAGGAAGGTGGTCTCCCTCCTCGGCAATGGCGGCGGCGGCGGCGGCGGCGGCGGCGGTGGTGGACATGCTAGAGGCAGGATGGCCGGGAGAAGCAGGCCTTCGGCGGTGCTGAGAGAGAAGGGATTCTTGGAGAGCAGCAGCGGCGGCGGCCAGCTGGGGATGATGATGTCCGGTGCTGCCACTCCGTCTACTAGCTCCGCCGCGCATTTGCGCAACCGGATTGGCGGAGGCAGCGGCGTGCCACCGGATTCGTTGCGGGGGCTCGATTTGGTCAGCTCGAGCAGCAAGGGTGGTGCTCATCAGTTCGATCCTCCGAAGCTGGTGCAGCCGTTGTCGGTTCAGTTCCAGTTCGGCGCTACCGCGCATAGGTACCCGTTCCAGCAGCATCAGCATCAGCAGAAGTTGCAGGCTGAGATGTTCAAGAGGAGCAACAGCGGGATCAGCCTTAAGTTTGATAGCCCTAGTGCCACCGGGACGATGTCGTCGGCGTTCATGTCGTCGCTTAGCATGGACGGCAGCGTGGCTAGCTTGGAAGGGAAGCCGCCGTTCCATTTGATCAGCGGCCCGGTCGCGAGCGACCCGGTGAACGCTCACCATGTGCCCAAACGGCGGTGCACGGGGAGAGGGGAGGATGGAAGTGGCAAGTGTGCCACAACCGGAAGGTGCCATTGCTCAAAGAGGAGGTAAACTGTGTTCTTGTAGTTCTTGTTGTCCCTACCGCGTCTCTCATTTGTCGGATTGAGCATTATGTGCTTTAACTTTATTTATGCTGCTCTGTTCTTCAGGAAGTTGCGAATTAAGAGGTCAATTAAAGTGCCCGCCATTAGCAACAAAATAGCAGACATACCTCCAGATGAATACTCATGGCGAAAGTATGGTCAGAAGCCGATTAAGGGTTCGCCTCATCCAAGGTATCAACTAAACCTCACATGTAATCTTAGCAAAACGTGAATCCTTGGTTACCTAATGTCAGTGGTCAACTAACACTAAAAAAACGTATCTCTATCCATTTTTTAAATCATGATGTGGTATTCCCCAAATTGTACCTTGAAAGATGCCATGCCACATCTGCATCAGGCACTCATTGTGCTCCTTTACCTGTGGAATAATTGTTTGTGGATCCTCCACTCCACTCCACTCCACTCCACCTTTTCCTAATTTCCAAGTGGATCTATAGCCAAGACGTGTTGATACCTTAGTTGCGAGCACAATTAATTATAACCAGCTTAGTGGATTAGTGGATCATGACAGTCTTTTGCTATTTCTTTACTCTCTCCTCTGTGGAAAACCAATATCAATCATGTGTCCTAAAGTAGGTATATTGTTAATGCAACATGGATTTGATCAGCATGCTTGTCTATCTACATCCTAATCTTGATTGCCCTCATCCCCCACCCCCATCTAAACTTTAAAGCCTGCACTTAATGATAGGAAAATGTAGCTATGCCATGATAGCAAGCACATGTTGCTGATTATTTCTCCTTCAACGCATTTTATTTATCTGCACAGAAGACCGACTTCGCTAAATCGCTCGAATCCGTTGCAGGGGTTACTACAAATGTAGCAGCGTCCGGGGCTGCCCAGCGAGGAAGCACGTCGAGCGGTGCGTAGACGACCCGGCGATGCTCATCGTGACGTATGAAGGTGAGCATAACCATACTCGGCTGCCAACACAGTCAGCCCAGACCTAGGAAACCTGTAGTATTTCACGCGAGCCATTCAGAAAATGCAGAGGCTCCAAGCTTTTGCTCGGGGACGGTCGGACCGGTCATGTGAAAGTAGGTCAGCAAACTGTGAAAGTAGGAGTAACAAACAGGGAAGCCATCTGATGAGAGCTATAGTGATTCGCTTGGGTCCTTAACTGAGCTACAAGCCATGTCGCATTTCTGCTATGGTCTCAATGTTCTACTGTCCAAAGTGGGGACATACACAACTTGTTCTCTCTTTTATGAGCTATGGCACTATCAGATTAAGAGAGAATGGAGGAAGAACATGTGATTGGATAGTGACCGGCAAGATTTGCTCAAAGAAGGGAGGGATTAGGTTTGAAGATTTCAAAGGAAGATTGACAAAAGGAAGTGAACAACTGAAACATCGTGTAAGCCTGGAAAAGGATAAGCAGGATTTGGCTTTTAGCGTGCACAAGTTTACTTGCAATGACTTGCCTCTGTATGTTGCTTTTGCTTTATTGAAAGATCAAAATTTTCTTTTGGCAGAAGAATCATTCAGCATTAAAGCTGTTTCTACTTGCTAACATACTGACACACTTGGACCATCAGGGTTTTTTTTTCCAGGTGTTAGCTGTTGGGTATGATTTCTCAGTCGTACTTCTGCTTTTGTGTAAAGCATTCCATGTTATGTTAATGACTTTGACATCAACTGCTATCCTGAGGTTCTTTAAAAGCTCTGCAGTCTACACAATAAATGGAATCTCAAACATCAAATATTCATAAATAAATAAATATTGGACAACAATAAAATGGATAATTTTTGTACTATTTTTCACGACTTTGTTATTCGAATATAGTGAGGTCTACATCAGGTTTTTTCTCAGAAATTTCAACAGGAACCATGTCAGCAAGTGTGTTTATATCTAATAAGCTTGTGCAAATATTCCTGACCCATATGCTTGTTTGTTCTTCCTTTCGAATGCTTCTAACAACATGGGGTTGACGATTGAACACGTTACTTGATGCTTACAACATGGAGTCTTCCGGATATACAATTATGAATGCGAGCCCGTGCATGCATGGTATGGCAAGCAGTGTGGGGGCAAACGAATTGAAACCTTATAATTGGAGCAGCTCAATGGACAAAAATGCCTCACCAACCGATGATTTATTGGATGGTCAACTACGCTAATTATTAGTACTGATCCCTAAATCGACCCATACGTGCAAGCCTTAATTTGGGACTTCTGAAAGCATTCCATGTGAGAACTAATATAAGGAATTAATTTCTCTGGTACCGTATGACTAGATTATTGTATTAGTGTGTTTTTTTTTAATTTCTTAAAGCCTGGAACTAGGTTAGCACAATCACAGTGTGTGCAAAGGTCAATGAGACGATTTAGCTTCAAGCAAAGGTTCATCATCAAATTTGTAGTATACTTGCCTATACTATATTCTGACTTGCAAGCAAGGATATAACATAATGGAGAGCTATTTTATAGACTAGTAGTATATGTTTAGCCTCTCTCTCTCTCTCTCTCTCTCTCTCTCTCTCTCTCTCTCTCCACTTTTGGGTCTGTAGCCGTATGACATGTGACCATGTCCTATGAATTTCTTCTGAAGCATGAAATCTAAATTGCCAGGCAATGGAGTTTTCTCTGCCCAAGTTGATTCCCCTTTCTTATCAAAGCTCTTGTTGAAGGACAGGACAGGCTAACTTGCCATCTTAGGCTGTGTTTAGTTCGGTCCAAAGTTTAGAATTTAGTTAAAATTAGAGACGATGTGACTAAAAAGTTTTTTTTTGTATGAAAAGTTTGATCTGATGGAAACTTGGAAGTTTGGAAAAAAAAACTTTGAAACTAAACACACCCTTATGGTTTATCATTATTAGCTTTGCTAATGATTAACACATCGATCCACAAGCAAAAAAAGGTATGGTCGATCGGCACATCATAGCAGCATGTCTGACAGGCTACAGTTATAAGGTAGGATCCTCAAACAGCTATGCATGTCTGACAGATATCACACAATTTCTTCAGAAAACAAAATGACAGCAAAGTGGTTGGTCCATCTTTGCCCCCAGTGCAGCTTTCCTAGTGGATGGACACTGAACAGCAAAATAAATAAACACTAACAGGTTGCCAATTTGGATTTGTCAAGACATTCTTTTCATCAACTTGAATCATATGATTCTGTGCTCCCGAGTCTACCATCCCACACTAATTTAGCCCCAACTCTTGACATGATGATGTCGACCTTTTCAGATACGACGTTAGCCACTAACGAATACAAAATTACTCTAGACTTTGACGCACTTGGGCATTTATCTTTTATCAAAGAAAAGAGGCGCCTCTAGTTAGTTTCTCACCTAGAGCTGTGACTTGTAAGAAACCAAAGTTTGGCCTATGTGCATTGCATCTAACCAAGTGATGACTCTGAAAAAAAGGATATTATTGTGGTCACTGATTTGGTAGTCTATGAATGAGGGCAGAAAAAACGTGCCTCTTAAGTCTAGAATTTGGACCCCCCCCCCCCCCCACAGGACATAAGCACACATCACAACAAGTCAATCTATTCGCTGGCAGTGCGCCAGCAAGTCAAGACTCGTGTGCGAACTTGTAGAAAATTATAGCCTAAAAATCTGTCCATGCTGGACTTCCACGATAAACGAACAGCAAAAGATAGTGACAGGATCAGAGACTTTTAAAGCTTCTAGCAACATGGATAAAAACATTCTCTTCCTGTGTGTTAGCTTTCTTTTTAAGAGAGTCGTACCTTGTTAGGCTGGCTGGCCAATGGCCATGTTCATCTCTGGAGCCTTCAGCCGTCTCCTCCAGGTGATGTCAAGTGACAGGGCATGAATCAATCACCAAACAGATAGCAGCAAATCGTGTTAGCGTGTAATCGTGTTGACCATAGGATTAGAGGAGCCAAGATCGAACCGTCTTCAGTAGAGTAGCAGCAGAAGCAGCTCCTTCAGGCCAAATGATGAATTGGTAGAGGGTCATCCATACCATCTCCAAGATGCCATTGTTGATTGGACATTGAGGTCCTGGTTTTGCTTATCCGTTTCGTTCATCATCATCCTGATTCCTTCATGCCCCTCCAAAACCACGGGGTTGCCTCTGCAGATCACGGGTGCCCGGATCTTGAAGCACATGGACAGGCATGGAGCATGGGGTCCCTGTTACAGCTACAGAGAAACCCAGCTACACTGTAGCAACATCAACTGTAATAGTAACTACTCCCTCCGTTTAAAAATATTTGACACCGTTGACTTTTTAGCACATGTTTGACCGTTTGTCTTATTAAAAAAAAATTGTGAAATATGTAAAACTATATGTGTACATAAAAGTATATTTAACGATGAATCAAATGATATGAAAAGAATAAATAATTACTTAAATTTTTTGAATAAGATGAATGGTCAAACATGTACTAAAAAATCAACGGTGTCAAACATTTTGAAACGGAGGTAGTATAAAAGATTAGGTTTTGACAGGAGCAGCATTAGGGAAGAAGAGTGCATGAAGGAAATATTAGGTTAAAATGGGCTCCATTTTACGACACATGAGAAGCTAGACAGCATATGAGGAAACAGGGAACATTTGCTGCCGCCGTCAGAAAGCAGTTTACACCATAACTAAAGCGTTCAGGAAGTCCTAACAACCAATAATCTGAGAGTTCTTGACAGACGAACAGAACAAAACCAGAAGATCCCACTCTTTCTAAAGCCTAGGGCGCTTCCAAACAACTAGTATCCGTAGCTCGGAGGGTAGGGGGGTGGCGCACCGCCATAGCTTCCACCGTTGTGAGGACCTGCGCCGCCAGGAGGAGATCCGTATGATGTTCCTCCGTACGGTGGGTAGGAGCTGTAGCCCGTGTCGACTGGTTGAGCAGGAGGAGCAGGAGCTTGTGGGGGGCCTTGGGGAGAAGCTTCAGCCATGAAATTCTGCAAGAGATGCTGCTGTTAATACGAGATTTTTTTTCTAAAAAAATATAAATAACAATCAGTGCAGGACTGTAGATAGCCTTCTTTGTCTGAGCTGGGTATCGGTAAGTTTTTAAGTTCAATGATTTTGATTAACCAGTGACCATCATTAAAATGAGGATAGCCTGATTATCAATATGAAGATATGAACAGAGGATTTCCCCCCACCACTTCGGTATAATACCGAGTAGATCTCTCCATACACATTTTGTAACAATTGATGAAAAAAGAGCTGCGTATGTAGTGGTTTATCCTACTAATAATACAATCCAATGAGTTACCGAGTTTCTTCTATGCAGCACTTCTATCTAATTAATGCAAGAGGTAGACTCAGGAACATCAGACTCGCAAATAGATCATCAGCATATTATAATAATTAGCCAAGATGCAGGTCATAGACAGTGTGATAATGTTTTTTCTTTGTTGTTCTGTGAAAACAGTGATAATGCTGACGCAATTTACGAAACAAAAAAGAATACCTTGATCAGTTGCTGGGCAGTTTGAACTTGTGAAGCACTTCCTGATATCTCCACAGTCATTTCTCCAGGAACACCTTCCTGAATACTTATTGTTGCACCACTATGCCTGCGAATGTAGCTGATACTAGCACCAGCTGCCCCAATCACGGCATCAGCGTAGGAAAGAGGAACTTGCATGCTGTGTGTTATCTGTCAAATAAAAACAACATATATGGGGGAAAACTCAGTAAAAGAAACTTTATAGCAGGCGCATAAACAGTTCATTATGTTCACAGTGGTCAAATTTTTAGCAACTAACTTGAGAAGAACCATGTGGTGGGTGTTGATTCCCTGAGGCAGGAGGAGCACCAGTAGGAGGTGCATCACGGCCATATGAAGAAATTCCATAGTGTGGTTGCTTTTCGACAGGAGGTACATCAGGAGGAGGATAATAGTGGTCTTGAGGCCGAGGAGGCATGAACTGTGGATTACCACCATAACCTGGGCCACCAGGAGGAACGTTTGATGGATGACCCCACGGTGGAGGAGGACCCCACGTCTGAGGAGGTGGCATAGGTTGCTCTCTGTGCGCATTGTGCACTTTCATCTGTCAAGGAAAGCAACTTATGATTATCGACCACTCATGCAAAAGTAAGAGTATGTAATATACTGCATAAAAGAAATGAACTTACCTGCATTTCGAACAAAGGGAGCACACTGCGGTCAACAAGAAATTTTCTTAAATGACTTGCAATCAGTTCCACTGCTTTGTGGACATCTAGAGGTTCACCTTGTATCTCAACAACTCGGTCGTCACTTAATGCAACAGGTGGTACACTTTCTGTAAAAGATGTAAGGAAATGTTAAACTATTGAAACTGAATGTTAAATGCTCTATAAAATATGTCGTGCATGAATTCTTGTGAAACTAGTTGCGGTAGTTATAGGAGCCTAATAAAAATTGAAAGACAAACAACCAAGTGACCAAACATCACCCAGCAAACCAAACAGTGGTAAAGTCAGGAACAAGCTAGAATAACAAGCCCAACAATCAAAGGGGAATTATAATGCTATATGGCATATGTCCAGCATGCTTGAGTCCTCAAAGGATGGCCTTTGCCTCAGACATGCATGCATTAATGTATTTTTTTAATACATAAAAAGGAAAATAGTCGATCCTATATAGTCTGCTAAGCGCAGAACATTAAAACCATGAATAGATTTGTATGTGGCTAAATCATTATTGGATGAAGTGCAAAATATTCGTCCTTGAGAGAATGGGTTATAAAAACATCCATTGAGTATATACAACGTATGCCTAAAAATGCATATTTCCTAATTCATTAAGAGAATAATCATATAAGATATGAAAAAAAGAAAGAGCCTTAGTAGATCTATCACTGTTTAATTTAAAAAGTACTCCAGTTTTGAAACAGAATAAAACAAAACATAGAATATACTAGAAATAATGTACGTTATGGGAGAAAAAAATGTAAAAGCTCACCAAGAATTCGGAGAACACACTTAGAAGCATCCTGTATGGATTTAATGGTTGCTCCTTGCTTGCCAATCAGGCTGCCAGCTTGAGAAGCTGGCACCAGTAGCCGTGTTGGCCCTACAGTACCAGCAGCACGTTGAGGTTGATCAGATTCACCATCTAAACCATCTGTTATCCGCTTGTGAACTCTAAGCAATCCATCAACAGCAGGAGGTAATGGTGCATCTGGTTCATCTTTTGCTGAAATCATTACCTTTAAGAAAGAAAATGGTATTTATGTCAGCAGGCAGGTACATACAGATGAGCAACCATTGGAGAGTCAATAACAGCAATGTGCAAAAAGCACAGAAAAAATGTTACTAGCATGATAACAAAAGGGTCAAGGGCAGGGAATATATGTCCGATCCGCATTAGACAGATGTGATTGCACGGTTATATTTATTCTGAAATTATTAGTGGGGTTGCAACTCATTCATTTATGCATGGGTTGCCTTCACTTGAAACGTTGCAGATACACACCCAAAAAATGTCTGCCATAAAGACTAAAATATTAAACAGTTCAGCATGGCATTGCCAAGACAAGGACTGCCAAAGTATAGTAGGATACTCTCCACTTCCTTCTTATCATACAACAACTCATCCTAGGCATACTAATACTAATTAGTGCTAGTTTGATGTTGTTGAGCTGAGTTATGGAATATAATGAACAAATTATTTACAAATTCTCGCAAAATATTTTTGATAATGCTCTTAAAAGATATTGCCAAAAAACATTATCGTTGATATATTTATCCACATAACTTAAAATAAAATCCTGATTAAAATCCATCAAAACACAAACTATTTTTGCCTAAGTAATAAAATCAAGAATTCATAGAGTAGTCTATCTTCATTTAACGAGTGTGACACTACGACCAGCAAGTTCTCCATTCCTCATTTTCTGGTTAGCATGTTTATCCATCTAAGTTAGCATCACTAATCACAAAACTGATGTCTATGGGTAATAAAATTCCGACCCATTGTTGGACGCTAACATTTTCTAAATGGGGGCAATCTTATAATCCGGGAAAGGGATAGAAATGTGCTGTTGCATTTCAGTTCACTTGGGTATATAACTCACTCATCTCTTGATAAATTATAGTGATTTAAGAGCACTACTTCAAATGAACCAATTCCAAAAATATCGATGCATGTGATACTACTTCACATTTGAAAGGTATCACTTGCAGTTATCACTTTTATTATTTAGGAACCGATTAGGTTTAAGGTTTTTTTAGTTATTTTAATCTTTTATTAACTTTACAAACTGATTCCCGTTTGGTCAAAAAATCAAGCAGGTCATGAAATTACCGGACAACATATGAAGCTTCTTGACAGGGATCTTCATCCGATAATCAAAAGACTTAACAGTATTTGCAGCACAGGAGCACAAAACTGAACTTTGATAACCATGACGGCTCGTCTATTTTTGATACATAAACAATTCGACTTGAGGCCTTACACTGCAGTGAGAACCTGCAAAGGTAGTTTGTTATTGCTATCGACACGACGACACTATTAAGTTTCGTACTTGAATGTCAGTTTCTTCATTTTTTTGATAATTCAATCCATTAGTTTGAATTTCTTTAGTTGCGGAGAAACTTTTAAGACAAGTAGAGTGAATATTTTTTAATAGTTATACAATGAAGTACATCAAGGGATGACGGCCCAATATTTGATGTTCTTTTATTTGCCTTTACACATGATTCTCCTGAATGGAACAAATCATTGTTCTCATCTGATAATCATTCAGAATATTTACTGAGATAGAGGCAAAGAGCATCTATAGTTATAATATATGCATTAACTACTTGATGTCTTGATCCATGTACAGTCCAAAACCTATTAACATTAGCATCCAAACTCAAATTTGAAAGATGGGTTAGAATTTTCTCTTGCCCTTGTACATACAGTTCACCGATTGGCCATAATCAGTGTTCCGATCTGATATTCAGTCATAACCTTTTTTCTACAAAGAATATTTGTTTGTGTCAAAATTACTTAATATATGCAAAAATCTATAGTCATCTTTGTTTCCCTACAAACTGAGGTTTCAAAGCTGAGATAGATTTCACCAATTGAAACAACCATATAGCCATTCTATACAGGAAGGTTGTAGTTACAGCACTATCTTTTATTAGTAATTATACATTTAACCCACTACAACGTCCTAGATGATCACATGTTGCAAAATATTATACCTACCACTTGACTTAGTAATGATAACAACACAGTACTTATTAGGAGCATTACAGCACCATAGTCACTAACCAAGATGTTCTTAAACTTCTAATAAAACTGCATCCCCTTCTCAGGGAGTAAAGAAAAGCAAGCAAGCCTACTCAAGCACTTGGTCACAAGTTAGAGCAGCATTAATTTGAAACTATTATTGAAATGGCATCATATTATATAATGTAAAAATGCCAGCTAGTTCCTCTTTCATTTCTGTCTCCTGTGTCAAAACACAATTTATTTTCAACTCCATTACTTGCAGACAACAGGCTCACCAACTATCAGATAGATTGGTAAAAGAAAATACAACAGTTTATAGACCATCGCAGTTGAATGTGAATATAATACATGGTGTGGGGGATCAAGAAATTGCATAGTGCTGTAACCACCTGTAACTACAATGCTTCCTAGCTAAATTCATTCCTCAATACAACTATAAAATAGGACAAAAATGGCACCCATATATTACAAATATCTACTTGACTGGTTCTCTGAAACAAGCGTACCGTGCATTCAAAGCCTACAACACTACTGCGCATACTGACTGAAACAACAATAGTAGAAACTAGTCCAGCTTAAGAAGAGAGAAAAAACTTACTGCTCTATCTGGTACCCCTGGTGGTCCATCAAGCACCTTTATGCGAGCTCTGGACTCCTCACACATTTTCTTGATAAACTCCCCTTTTCGGCCAATGACAGCGCCCACTTTTTGGGCTGGAACAAGTATACGGAACACACTTTCTCCAGGCCAACCTGGCCATTTCTTCTCATCAGTTACTGCATTGGCCTGCTGCTCTCCCTGAGCTTCTCCACCATAGGCATGCCCTTCTTCTGAGGGGATAGCTTGGTCCTCTTCATGCTGATGCCCCACATTTCCATCATTTATGTTCACCTGATCTTCATTGTATGGGATCCCTGATTCTTCATAGCTTGAGTCTTTGGTTTCTTCGTCATATGTATTTTCTGGATCTTCCTTGTACTGCTCAGGCACATCACTGAGAGGAATCGCCTGCTCCTCATTATCAAGATTACTGGCAATCCCACTCATGTCCTCCGCAGGATTCTCGATGTTCCCATCCATATTTTCTGGAAACACACAACATAGACCATGTCAAGTAACACAAAACTGAAGGTGAGATGCTTCTCGGGCAGAAGTGCAGCATAAATTGTAGCAACAGGTGGCTCGCGTAATGCTTTGCGAGGGGCACAGCTCGCACGGAACAATACCAGATGGGGGCAACCCGCTTCCTGCACCAATCTAACTGTGGACTACACGAAAACCCCCAAGTTATTTCTACTCCGGATCCACCTAGATAAAGCTCAGCGCAACGCACAAACCCCTAACACCACAGCAAACTCGTCATAAGCGAGTGAAAAGAAAAAATCAGCCACGAGCCCCATAAACCCTAAATCGAGAGCAGAGCCGCGCCCCCACCACGACGCGAGCGGGCGCATCCAAGCTACACCTCCCGCGGCTACAGCGCGAGTACCACACGGCACAGGAGAACGAGGCCTACAGCGCAAGCAACCAATCTCCGGGCGGGTCGGCGGCGAGCTCTCCGCCGCAGCTACGCTAGACCCGCCCGCACCACCAAAGCTACGGATTCACCGGGAAGTAGATGCCGAGCGAAAGCGCGCTCACCTCACGGAGGAAGAGGACGAGGCCTCGCCAGAGAGGGAGTCCCGCCGCCGCCGCCGTGGAGGGTTTTGAGAGGAGAGGAGAGGAGAGCACGGGAGCCGTGCGGATTTGGGAGGAAAGAGAGAGAGAGAGTGTGTGGCTTGGTTGCCTCCTCGGTTTGATTTAACCTGGCTACTCCCACCAGCCCATGGGCCTCACGTTCGCCCACTCCTGGGCCCAGCCCATCCATATACCGGCCCACCGCTGCCAGGTGGGCCTCACTCCCCACCGTGCGCGGCCGCGGGCCCCACCGAAGAAACACCACACTCCCGTGACTCGTGTCGTCGTCTTCCTCGTCAGCCGCCACTGCCGTCGCGTCGTCTCCAACCTCCTCGCCTTCGCCTCCACCCAGCCATGGCGACGAGCGCCGCCGCGCGCTTCCTCGCTGCCCTCGCGGGCGCCGCCGTCCTCCTCGTCCTGCTCGGCGGAGCTGCTGGCGCGGTGGTGGGGCACGACGACGACGCGGCGGCGGCGCGGCGGACGATGGAGGAGTTCGCCGGATTCCCCGCGTCCGACTACCGCGGCGATGGCGGTGGCGGCAGCGGCGGCTCCTCCCCGTTCTACGTCGACTCCGATGGGCTCCAGCGCCAGGTACGTACGTACGCACGCGATTCCACCGCCTGCGGCAGGCAAAACCCGTGGCGCGATTCCGAGTGACGAAATGGTTTCTCGTTTGTGTGTGTGATGATCCTCGTCGCAGATTGATGAGCTGGCTTCGTTCTCCGACTCGCCGGTGCCGTCGGTGACCCGCGTTCTGTACAGCGACAAGGACGTGCAAGCTCGAAGGTTTTCCCGTTCTCACGCCCAGTGCGATTTTCTTTCTTTTTTTTTTTTTTGTTCTACTCTCATGATTCGTGGGAGGAGGTGATTTCCCATGGATTTGAACTCATTACAGTGCTTCTGTGCTTGGTCAGCAACTAGTTGCAGAAATGGCTTAGTTTATTTTTCACCTTGATAAGACTCCGATGGGATGAACCAAGCTTACTTCGAACCAAAACGTGCTTAATTTGACGCCCAGCCCGATAGGAGTTGATCTCATGAACATTGAATTAATAGGTCAAACTGCTTCCCGATAGCAATTTGATGTTTCTGATTCGATGATAACATTTCAGATGGCAAATTTGTTTCTCTGCTATTTGTCAATGATAATATGCATCTCTGTTCTATGATGGTTGCTGAATTTGTACTTAAATGTTTATAGGTATATAAAGGGAATAATGAATCAGCTTGGCCTGTCCATTCGTGAAGACGCTGTTGGCAACATTTTTGGGCGCTGGTGAGTTGGTATTGGATGGTTCTGGAACCATGTTTATTTGATGTATCTGGTTTTACAAGTAGTTATCTATGGCAAAGCAATTCTAGCAAATGGGATGGCATATTGGAAGGAACAGCATATCTGAAGCATATCTCTCATTATATTTTGGTGTTTCTATGGCTATGTATAAAAGGAACAGATTGTAGTGGAATTTTTCTGATCACTGTAACATTGCATACTTCTGCAGGGAGGGTTCTGAGGCAGGACTAGGAGCGGTTGCAACTGGTTCTCATGTTGACGCAATCCCATTCTCAGGCAAATATGATGGGGTGGTTGGTGTCCTGGGTGCTCTTGAGGCAATTAGAATGCTGAAAAGGTGTAAATACTACCTAAAAGTATCTTACCATTTCTCAAAGAATTTAGTTTTGCTTGTGTTGCCCATGTTATATGCATTCTCTTTCATCAAATATCATGATGAACTACCAATGGAACTTAGTTTGACTCAGTGCATCATACAGTGTACCCAAGTATGCAACACTCACATGGGGATTAGACATTCACAGTTTCACTATACAGCTTGAATATGTATACTGATTTTAAGAAGACGACTAATTCTCCACCTTTTGATGTCACAATTCCAGGCCATATAAGTATTAAGCATAGTTATATTTTCCATCTTGCAACAAGCATGTTTTAACTGTATTGCCACACATTTGAGGAAACAGCTGAAGCTTTGATATGCTAGGTTGGTTGCTCTTTTGTGATGAAACAAACTCTTGTTTGTATCATACAGGTCTGGTTTCCAGCCAAAAAGATCTTTGGAGGTTATTATGTTTACATCGGAGGAGCCTACAAGATTTGGAATTAGCTGCTTGGGAAGGTTGAGCCTCACTCGCACTAACTTGAAGCTTAGCTTGGACTAATTGTGCCACAATTATGTTTTGTTGGTTATTATCTTTTCACTTCTGGAAAATGTGCAGCCGCCTAATGGCAGGGAGTGAAGAACTGGCTCGATCCCTCAAAGAAACAGTTGACAATCAGAATGTGTCATTTTTTGATGCTGCAGACTCTGCTGGCTACAAGATGCATCCTGAGGAGCTACATAATGTGTTTTTGAAGAAAGACGACTATTTTGCTTTTGTAGAATTGCACATTGAACAGGGCCCCATTTTGGAAAAAGAAGGTTGGATTGTGAGTTAATTAATAAGTTTATGGAAAATTGTTCTTCTTATACTCATGTGTGTTCTTACAACAGGTATCAAAATTGGCGTTGTCACTGCTATTGCTGCTCCTGCAAGTATTAAGGTGGAGTTTGAAGGGAATGGGGGCCATGCTGGAGCAGTGCTCATGCCTGCAAGGTTAGCATTTCCATTCATTCTTCATCCATGTGGTTTACATTATTTTGAAAGGTCCCCACCACATATTTACATGGGTAAAGAAACTTTTTACAGAAATGATGCTGGACTGGCGGCAGCTGAGTTGGCATTAGCAGTTGAGAAACACGTTTTGGAATCAGGATCAATTGATACTGTTGGGACAGTTGGTATGCTTGATGAAATTGATTTTATTTTCTGTTGAATATATCATTCTTTCATGACTGTGATGTTTTAATACTCCATAGTAAATTAGGACATACATGTGCCTTTACCAATTTGTATAGCAACCAAGTGAATATCAAACTTGACCTGCTTTTCAAATTTAGATCAATTCTGTTCTACATCCTCCATTCTTGGATATCTTCTGCTTATACTATAAAAAGTGTCTGAATATCTGATGAAATGCACCAATATAGAATGTTGTTGTACTTAGCCATGATAGTTAACAACTCCAAAATAGGAAATCATTTTAGTATTTATTTAGAATTATGAAACAATAAGAAAGATTTTCTAATGTTTTGCATCATCGTAGCCTAGATGCTCAACTAGAATATGTTACTACCTCCGTTTCAGGTTATAAGATGTTTTGACATTGGTCAAAGTTAAACTGTTTCAAGTTTGACTAAGTTTATAGACAAATATAGTAATATTTATAATACTAAATTAGTTTCATCAAATCAATAATTGAATATATTTTCATAATAAATTTGTCTTGGGTTGAAAATGTTACTACTTTTTTTACAAAGTTGGTCAAACTTAAAACAGTTTGACTTTGACTAAAGTCAAAACGTCTTATAACCTGAAACAGAGGGAGTAGTTAAGTTTTAATCATGAAATATATTTATGAAGCTAGTAGGTGGTCAAGCAGAATTTCAAGAAAATGGTCAAAGATATATTTGCAGCGATAATGTTTTTCCATAATGAATTATTCTTCTTCAGGTATTCTGCAGCTACATCCAGGAGCAATCAATAGCATCCCAAGTAAATCGCATGTGGAAATTGGTAGGAGACTGTTTTCAGATAAAAAGAATTATCGTGTTCTGACTGCCGGCTAAGAACTTCTCATTATCTTTTGTACAGATGTGAGAGACATTGATGAGAAGAGGAGGAATAATGTCATTGAGAAGGTTCACCAATCCGCAATTGAGATATCAAAGAACCGTGGCGTGCTATTATCAGAGTTCAAGATCATAAATCAGGATCCACCTGCTCTATCTGACAAATCAGTCATCAGCGCAATGGAATTTGCTGCAAAACAGTTGAACCTCGAATATAAGCTGATGATTAGCAGAGCTTATCATGATTCACTCTTCATGGCCAGGTCAAGTACTATAGGCCCCAACAGGGTTTTCCACCTACAAACCAAATACCCTGGCTGGCAATCTCTGAAACATGTTATTTGCTTTGTGTCTAATTATGTTCTTTTTGTGGGGTAACATGTTTACCAACTAACACGTACAACTGCTTCTTTGTTCTGCAGAATATCACCAATGGGTATGATCTTCATTCCATGTTACAAAGGTCTGTACACCACGTCATCACTTCTTGTCCTACTAAAGATCAATTACTTGAGATGCTAGAATGTTTCAAGATATTCTAATTTCCACCACCAATTGAAAAAAAATGCGTTTCAAAAATAAACAATGTAACAAACTAAAATAAATTTACAACGCATATCCTGGTGAATGAATATAAAGTTCAAACTAATAACCTCCTATAAAATGAATTGCCACTGAAAAAGTTATCCTTCTGGTTGCAGGTTACAGCCACAAGCCCGAAGAATATGCGTCACCAGAGGACATGGCGAACGGTGTGAAGGTGCTTGCCTTGGCAATGGCCAGATTATCCCTGCAGTGAGCTTAGACATGGAGGAAGGAAGGAATCAATGAGTTCAGATCACCCAACACCTTCGTGTTCCTGCAATGGAAACACGATGTACAGCAATTCCTCGCGTGGCAAAACAAAGCCATGGTGATTCTTCAGGAATAATAAATTAATAACATTTGGAAGCCATGGTGATTCTTCAGGAATAATAGATTGATAACATTTGGATGGGCAGCAGAAAACTAGTCCGTATGTTTTCAGCGAGGGAATAAATAAATAAATTTCTGATGGCATCATCATGAATCTGAATGTATCCTGTGTTCTTGCTTGAATTTTTCTTTTTGAAGGAAATAATAATAGTCGATGGCAAAATTTAGCAGAAACCGAACTGTTCTTCGAAACTACGGGTCATTTTGTATTGATGCCAAAATATTACCCTACTAATTTTTTGGTAGTTTACATAGTGAATATAATTGTTTGGTTTAGAGCCAATTGAATGGTAGTGCCCATGGTTAATTTGGCATAATTCTAGAACCTTCTTGACCATAACATGAGATTTGGCTTTCAATTGGTATCAATTCAAACCCACTCACTTAAAATGCTACCCTACCAAAATATTGGTAGTTTCAAAATATGCCTAAGTTTTGGCACTACCAATATTTTGGTAGGGCACTAAACCAAATAAGCCCTACCCTCAATTTTCTTGGATCCGTTTGTCTCAAATAAGCCCAGTGATAAATTCGCATTTCCTACCACATTCTGAATCCGTCTTCTTTTAAAATTACTTTTTTATAAATACTCTTTTCGTCTCATTTTAAGTACAGCTGTGAGTTTCTGTGTCCAATGTTTGACCGTCAATCTTATAATTAGTATTTTTTATTGCTATTAAATGATAAAAATGAATAGTACTTTATGTGTAACTTATTTTATTTATTTTTTTATAAATTTTTTAAATAAGATGAATGGTTAAATGTTGGACACGGAAACCCACAACTGCACTGACAATGGAAGGGAGAGAGTAGTAATGTTTTTCTCTATCGTATTAGAGCACCCACAATGGTTATCTATAGGCTCTCTACGAGAGATCCATGTCAGCATATTTTCCTACTTGGAAGAGATTAAATGAAGAGAGAGAGAGCAAAGCTATCTACTAACCTGGAGATAGTCTATAGAGAAAAACGAGGCAATGGATTAGAGAGCTATAGATACCTATGTATAGATATACTATTGAGGTGGTATACTATTAATCTAGTCTATTGCTGAGATGTACATATTTTATAGATAGCACCTTACTTTACCATTGCGGGTGCTCTCAGAGAAAAATAACAGTTAAAATAGGAATATAAAAATATAAAAGAAATCCAACCCGTAAACAGATAACGGTCGGGTTACCCGCTCCAGGCTCCATTCCCCCCGCATTTCGTCGAACACCTACCGCGATGCCGCCGACGCCGCCGCCTCTCCTCCTCCCGGCGCCACGCTGCCCACGCTCTACCGCCGTGCTGGCGGCGTCCCGCTTCGCCGCGTCCGCATCCTCCTCTTCCGGAGGAGGAGGAGGAGGTAGCAGCAGCGGCGCGCGCACGGCGAGGCCGCCCCCGGCCCCGCGGCGGCGGCGCGGCAAGCCCGGGTTCTCGCGGCAGTCCGCCATCAAGAAGAGCTTCCACCAGGAGCAGGTGGTGTTCTCCACGCCTGTTCCCCCCGACCCATCCGTCGCCGTCGTAGGCGGCGGCGCATCCGGCCTCGCCTGCGCCGCCTCCCTCGCCGCCCGCGGCGTCCGCGCCGTCGTCTTCGACACGGTCCACCTCAACCCCCACACCTCACTCACTCACCTACCTTCTCCGCATCCCGTACTCACCTTTCTCGCCGCTACTACTGCAGGGGATGCACGGGCTAGGAGGGAGGATGGCGACGAGAGCTATCGCCGCCGCCGGCGACCAGCAGCAGCAGCAGCAGCTGGTGTTCGACCACGCGGCGCAGTTCTTCACCGCGAGCGACGAGAGGTTCAAGAGGGTGGTCGACGAGTGGATGGACAAGGGCTTGGTCCGCGAGTGGGGAGGCTTGATCGGTGAGCTCGACGCCGGCGGCCATTTCAGGCCTATGCCTTCCTCCTCGCCGCCGCGGTACATCGGCGTCGACGGGATGCGGCCGCTTGCAGATGCGATTCTGCCTGAGGTATACCCAATTCTGACATCACATTGCAAATCTTTCTTGGAACATAGATCACCAAAGTACCAAACTGTTGCAGGATCATACTATCCCACTGTTAGATGCTAGAACTGAATATTGCTCGGGCCGCTTGATACCATCGCAAAAGTCGCAGAGCTGAAAAATACCATCATATGTGTCATTGACATGCTCCGCGTGTCATGTCATTCTCACGTACGATGGTACTATTTTACAACTCACATATCTTTGCGATGGTATTTCCCAAAATTTTCCCATATTAATCTGATAAAATGTGATTTTGGTTGTTGGAGTTCGAGCTATGTAAGTGTGTAGTATGAAGTGTGACCGAATCATTCAGATGCCGAACTTTCTTTTATTGATGTCATTTTCTGGTCTGCTCATTCCATTGCTGAGTAGTATTTCAACCTTTGCAGAGTGACCTAATTGAAGTTGTCCGGCCGTGTTGGATAAGCAAGCTTGAGCCGTTCAATGGCCTGTGGCGCTTGTTTGAGAATGAGAAGCCACATGGTCAATATGATGCAATTGTGATAGCACATAATGGTCAGTGCAAGTTTTTTCCCAGTGGTGTTTCTCTTTCAAGCTCTTTTCTCCATGGACTGTGGTTTAAATTAGAGCTTCATTTTTGCGGCCTCTCTAGTTGGGCTGGTAAAGTCTAGGAAAGATGAAGAAAGTAATAGTATCAGTTTACTGCAACTGCCATAAAGATATCATAGATTGCACAAGAAAGTGATTATTGTGGAGGGGCAAATCCAGAACAAAAAATTACCCAGTGTCCATACATAGCACACTACATAATATATCACAACCAAATCTATACAATGCTCAAAATAATAATAAAAAAAGCAGCGTTGTATTTAACGATTATCAATGTTACTTACAATGTTTATAGCAAAATATAAGTATCCAACTACAATATCCCGTAAAAACTAAAAAGACATACAAAGTTGTTATTTTGTTGCTTGCAGGCTGACTAGCTTGGGCTCTGGGTGTCCGGCTAGGTGGTGTCCCAATGCATGTACATCGGCTATCACAAATGAAAACGAAAAATTCAACCTGTCCTGTGCATCGTGTTGGACTAACGTGGATTCGCCCCTGACCATATGCATTTTTTTCGCTGCATATGTCATTGTCTTGTATTTTTTAACTTTTTTTAGCAAGAAGCATATCATATATCTAACTTTTCTTTCGGACTAAATCATATTTCCGGTCACTTTTCTACTCGCTAATCAGGGAAATGTGCCAATCGTCTGCTCTCTACATCAGGTCTACCACTGCTGACAAGACAAATGAAGGTTTACTGCCGGAACAAACTTTGAACTCATGAGGCATATATCCGCTTCTTACAAGTTCGTTCTTACTGAGTTTTATACCCTCTATGCTCAGAGATTACAGCTAAGTTCTGTCTGGGCGCTCCTCGCGGCATTTCAAGATCCTCTACCAATTCCACAAACTGATTCTTATGGAACATTTGAAGGAGCATTTGTGAAAGATGTTGATTCTCTCTCTTGGATGGCCAACAATACTCAGAAACTTTTCCCCTTGCAGACTGGCAGACCCGAGTGCTGGACATTTTTCAGCACTGCTGCTTATGGAAAAAGAAACAAAGTTCCGCAGGTGGATTATTTGCTGAAAGTTATTTTGGATTTCGCTTTTGTTATATCATCAGTTGCATGGAACTACGCATTGTTACATTAATTAAAAGAATACATGTCAAGATAGAGTTTTCAAGGCCTTTTTGCCCCCTTTTTTTGTACTGTTGAATACTTTAGAATGTATTTTATCACTGATGACAGGAAAACATTCCAAAGATCACGGCGGAAAAGGTGAAGGAAGACATGCTTAGAGGTGTAGAGCTTGCTTTAGGGCTATCAAGAGGATCTCTTCAGCAACCATTTTACACGAGAGTACAATTGTGGTACAACAACGCATGCCTTGAGCCTCTTGTATCTGTTTACCATTTCATCATGTGTAAACACAATCATATTATGAATTCAAATGCCTGAAACACAGGGGTGCAGCTCTACCAATGAACACTCCAGGAGTCCCATGCATATTTGATCCCCAAGGGAGAGCAGGCATCTGTGGTGACTGGCTAACAGGTTCAAGCATAGAAGCGGCTGTGTTAAGCGGAATGTCTCTTGCAAACCATGTAAATATATTGCCTTCATATGCTCTTTGTTTCTGCAATCTATAGCACATCTCGAATCTAGCAGTGAACAAATTAATTATGAACTCGATTCTATATATGAATTCTTTCGTTTAAATGGTGATTTCTTGTTCCTAATTTTACAATGCAGATCGCTGACTACTTTGCAAGCAGTGGTGAACAACCAGAGGAGTTTGCAATTGGTTTGCATGAGAACTTGAGCCAGGTTGAAGGTCATGATATTGGTCAGTTCCCAGGTTTAGAGAGTCAGAAACCGCATGTAGCTGAAGCTCAGCTAACACCGAGCACATGATTTTTCTTTTGTTAGTTCTGTACTGGTAATTTCTGTAGCATGTAAATGATGAGCTGATTCTTTTGTTGCACAGAACGTGTATGTTGTAAACCGCAAAAATGTATATCAACCATGTATATGTAGAAATTTTTGAAGCTCTTCGAATGTTTCATCTACCTGGTGTTTGGAAGTACATCTGGATGTTTGGAAGGCTATATATATATATAATATTCTTGAAAGAGTTGTACTGTTCCCAGGAAAATCCTTGTGAAATTATTTCTTCGAATAAGAGTGTTACTTCATGAACAAAATAGCCAATGCCAATACAGCATTATGCTGCAATCACAATTACATGAAGCAATGCAAATGCAGCATCGCACAGGAACCACAGCTACAGGCAAGAGCAAGGCAAAATGCAGCATCACAGCAATCACAGCTACATGAAAAAGGAAGACAGATAGACAGATCAGCAGTACACAGCAATCACAGCTACAGGAAAGAGCAAGACAATTACAGCAATCCACAGCTACAGGAAAAAGGAAAGTGCAGAAAGGTACAGAGTGAACAGGTATTACATAAACAACAGGTTAATCGATGAGTCATACTTGCGATGTAACATCAAGAGTATCACATATTTGGTGCGGTACTCATCATGTTTGAGCACATGATATTTCAATAAAATTGCATGCACTTTGCACTAGGTTTAACAAAATAATTTCACTTTGCAGCAGGTTAAGCTAATTACTTTTCACTCAACACCAGCTCATATGATTTGGTCTGATCCAATGAGCTGAGGCCGACATGCAGGTCCACCATGGCATATGATTTGAACACATAGTATTGTCACAACATTATTAAATTACACCTAAACCAAAAGCAGTATCTAGTATAACCAAAGGTGCCCATCTGCAAAGAGGAAGTTTGAATGGTGGAGTAGACTCTAACTTCTAACTTTTCACAGGAAAACTGCAGCTACTTCAGAACTCCGACATTGGCTTCTTCATATGGGAGCAGCACATGTAGTTCTGAAATGGCCTGTTTGGTTGCAGCGGCTGCAGTGTACAACCCTCTTGATTCGCCCACGGTCCTCTGCACGGATTCTCTTCTTCCTAGGCCTCCCGGGAGGCCTCAAGGATTTTGGCGGGTTGATGATCACATCCACCTTGTTCTCTTCTTCTTGGCCTTGATCAGACGTCTCGTTCCAAAGGGTTTTGTCCGGGATAGGATGGATCGTCTGTGAGTATGTCTTGCGGTATGTCGCAACGGTGAAGCAGCTCTCTGTATAACGGTGGACATTCTGTCTGCAGGAAAGCAGCGCTGCCACACCATGAGCACAAGGCACACCATAGAGCTGCCACCCACGGCACAAACAACACCTGTTGCGGATGTCCACAATGTTAGTTCCCTCGTGAGGCGAGATGACCTCAAATTCAGCCTCATTGGCTCGGGCAACTTGGTAGCCCCGTGCACGCTCAATTGCTTCTTGCACCCGTCGCTCCGCTGCAGGCACGAGGATAGTTGTCCACTGCATACTTGCTTCACGCCGTTCGTTGAACCATGTCATTAGCTGGCGTCGGATACACTCCATCATCTGAATTATAGGAAGCCCAGAGGCATCCAGTATCCAAGAATTCAGTGATTCTGTGATATTTGCTGTCAGGTGACCATATCGTGTCCCCTCAAAGTAAGCTGTGGCCCAAAGCCGAGGAGGTAGGCGTCTTATCCAACAAACAGCTTCTGGGGACGTGTCTTCTATCTCTAGCAACTTGGTTTCAAATTCTATCACAGTCAGTGCATTGGCAGCCTCCCAGAGAAGGTTGACAAGCACTGAGTTATTGAACTCCTTTCGGAAAGTTTCACTGAGACTGCGCATACAATGCCCATGGAATGCAGTTGGGAAGTTGAAGTCAACTCCATCGATTATTCCCTTGCGTCTATCAGACAATATAGTGAGCCTTGGCATATTCTCTGTGTTCTTCTCCAGCAATTCATGCAGCTCAGACAGAAACCATATCCAATTCTCATCAGATTCCTCATCAACCACACCAAATGCAAGAGGAAACAGGGCACCATCACCATCGAAACCTGTGGCAAGAAACAAGGTGCCGAGATACTTGTTTTTGAGAATGGTTCTGTCAAGCCCAATGAGCGGACGGCATGCATTCACAAAACCATATATTGATGCATGGAATGATATGAAGAGTCGCCGAAAGCAGTTGTCATCTGGATTGCCATAGACACGAGCTATGCTTCCTGGATTTGTTCTTTCCACTTGCCTACAGTACTCAGGCAGGAGCCGATACCCTTCTTCGAAGGACCCCCGAACTGCTGCCATGATCCGCTCCTTCCCTCTCCATGCTTGCTTATAGGATAATGTGATCCCGTGTGACTTGTGGATTTCTTCCAAAATTTCCTTGGGCTTGCAGTGTGGGTTCTCACGTAGCCTCTCCTCAACAGTATTTGCAACCCATTGAACAGATGCCTGCTGGTGGCCTAGATGGTTTATTCCCACACAACTATGGTTGTCATGGATAGTTCGGATGGAGAAAGTGGGCACGCCAGGGAGCTTTGCAGCATGGATGCGCCACGGGCAGCCGTCAGCAGAGCACTTCGCAGTGAAGCGCGTCTTGTCAGACTTCACCGTCTGTATCTCAAAGTGGCAGGCGATGGCGGTGTTGCGGATGGCCCTGCGGCAGCTCATGACATCAGGGAATTCCTGCCCCACCACAAGCTGAAACTCGGAGCTGACGACCATCTTCCGCGACTGAACAACAGGGGCAACCGCAAGAGGGCCGTGCGAGAAGTCATGGGCTGGCTGAAGAGCGAGCTCGTGGGCTTGCTCAAGAGAAAGCTGATCCATATTCTGGTCGACGTCAAGCTGATGCGCATCTGTGAGCGTCAGCACGTGATTCTCCGTCATGGCAAGCCCATCATGGTCCTGACCATCCAAGGAATGCGGGTCCTCATCATGGCCATGCCCCAACGCGAGCTCACTGGTGTGGCCGTGGTGATCATGCGCGAGGACCAGCTGGCTGTCGTGGTGGTTCCCGAGACCCAGATCATGGTCGTGCTCGTGCTCGTGCTCGTGCGACTGCCCGAGGACGAGATCATGTTCGTGCGCGTGGCCGAGGCCGAGCTCATGGCTGTGGCCGAGCCCTAGCCCGTGGTCCTGCCCAAAGTCATGGTGATTCTGCCCCAGCGCCAGCTCGGGGTCCTCGCCATGGCCGAGAACCAAGTCGTGGTTGGCCATCAGCAATTCACGGCTGCTCCGAGTATCTCCTGGCAACCAGTGACTGACCTAGCGTCGCGCGGCATGGAGGGGGTTCAGCTGAACCCCCAAATCCCTCTTGAAAATTAAAAAAAAATTATGTCAGTACTACCAAATCAAAGTAATCCGGGCAAAACCCAATTCCCAAGCCCGGATGAATCAAACGGAAGGGTAGAAGTATACAACCCAATTCCCAAGCCCGGATGAATCCCCAATACGAGAGGTGAAAAAGATGAATACCTTCAATTCGATGCGAGACGAGATGGATGGACGCCGATGGAAGGAAGAACTAGACCGCGGGCCGCGTCGGCGTCGGCGTCGGCGTCGCCCCCACTCCAAAACCTAGCCGTGCTCGCCGCCCGTGCGGGCAAGCGCGATGGGGGGAGAAGGCTAGGGCACGGTCGGGAGGGGATGGGATGGGATGCTCGGGGGAGAGGGGAGGGGCGTCTGCGCCGCGCCCCTCCGGAGCTGCTCGCTGGGGCGGTGGGGATGGGAGCGCGCAGCGATGAGGGCGAGGTGGCGGCGGCGGCGGCGGGGAGAAGGCCGGCGGCCGCGGCGGCGGTGGTCGGCTACAGATCGGAGAGAGATTTGGAGAGAGATGGGGGAGGAAGAGGAGGAGAGTAGAGGTGAGGGAAGGAGAGAAGAAACAGAACAGATTGTGGGGTAGGACGGAGGGGCATTCTGGTCATTTCAGTTGTCACCCTTTTTTATTATAAGAAAAAGAAACTTTTTTTAAAAAAAATTGCTTAGTTGAGATTTATAATCCCTCTGGTGTCACACAAGATATATTTGTGTCCACAGATAGGTGGAGCATATTTGAGAATGTTAAGTATGTTGAGGTAAGGGGGCATTTTGGTCATTTCAGTTCTTGCCTTTTTTTGGTTTTTTTGGAAAAGTGATAAACTCTTTTTATTTTGTTTTGTTTTTTTCGGAATTAAAATCCCTGACGGCAATTAAAGTCCAATCGCGTCTATTTGGAGGGCACATGAGTAAGAAGGCATGTTTTGGTTTGTTTCATTGTCCAAACTGACCCTATAGAAATGTTGGCAATGTCAATGGATGAATAGTTTCATTTGGTTTAATGAAAAAAAATATATTACTGATATTTCGGTAAAACTACGAAAGCTCGTAGCTACTTCCTCTCTCCTAAAACAAATCCACTCTTAGCATCCCATCCCAAGACAACTTTAGTTGTAGGGATAAAATAAACAAAGTGTCCCTTATTTATAGGAAAATAATATTAATGGATGGATAAAAGGTATTAAAATACTTCTTCCATTTTATATTATATAAGTCATTTGACTTTTTTCCTAATCAAACTAGTTTGACTAAATTTATATAAAACTATATTAGTATTTTCAACACAAAACAATCATATTATTAAAATTTTTGCTATGTTATATTTAGTGAAACTAATTTGGATTTTAAATGTTCCTAAATTTTTCTATATACTTGGTCAAACTTAACAAAGTTTAACTAGAAAAGAAATTCTCTCTGTTCATATTATGTTTCATATTATACGTTGTTTTAACTTTTTTTAAGTCAAACTTATTTTAAATTCGACCAAGCTTATAGAAAAATATAATATCATTTTCAACACAAAACAAATATATTATTAAAATATATTGAATGCAGATTCAATAAAAAATAATTTAGTATTTTAAATTTTGCTAAACTTTTCTACTGTGAACAAATTTATCTGGCCATGAACAAATGCTTTTGCAGACCATGAAATCCAGATTGGAATTACAAACTAAACCGCAACTATAGGAAGAAAAAGAAAGGCTCAAATTAGTCTGCCTGCGATTGAGGTGTTCACCATATGCCATCGACTCCAGGACATGGATAGAAAGGAAGAAAGGCTAACCCAGATTGTATGCATGTATACGACTGATTTTAGATTCTTTACCACGGGTAAAAAACAATGTAGAAAGCAAAGAAATATAGCTATTGAATAAGGAACTGAGGAGC